CATTACTAGAAAAAGTTGGTAGTTATGAGATTAACGAGGTTATGACTTGGATACGCTTCAGATCTACAGGATATACGTTTAGGAATTGCAAAGTAAAAAAAGTCATTTGAAACAAGAACGCAACACCTATCTCTTTCAACAACAAATCAAATCCAACCAATTGTTGGACAATACATGACTATATCTCTCTTTGCTGTCATTCTTCTCTTTTTTGAGACACTGTATCCCGCTTTGCTGTTTCCTCCGCATAAGTTTCGGGTCTTGTGTCATTGGGATGGTTTTATCCATGGATCTAGAGTGCAGCCCAAGAAGCTCAGAAGCCCTTGGTACTGAATCTAGATCCCCATGTGGTGAGCAGCTTGAGATCGGGGGCAGATCACAAGCTCTCTAGCGTGGGGTGGGGTTCCACGCTGGGTCCTATCCAGTTCCTGGCCGTAATATCCATTTGGAATCGGATTGTCCCTGCCCGATGGGATCAAGCTGAGACAATCCTTTGGCCGAAGTCCACTTTTGTACGCGCGAGCGATCGCACCGGGTTCCTCCATGTATTGAGAGTGCCTGGCCAGCAAGCAGCACGTCTAGCCGCGGAGTAAAAAGGAAATCAAGAAAAAGTCCTCCCGCGAAGTTTGTTCGTATCGTTCAAAAAAAAACCGCTGTTCTCCTCCAAGAAGAAGGCTTACAGCTCCTCTACCCTTTCAAGGCAATCCATTGGACATGTGGGAACTAGCCTGGCTGGCCTCAATATGGCGGTAGTTCATACCCAAAGTGAACAGTTCCTGGAAACTGGCGTTGACCTTCTCGTGCATCGCAGTATCCTGAGGAGAAATGTTACTCAGCTCCTCGAGCAGACGCGAACGGCACTTGAAGAAGTTCTGCTCGGCGTTCTGGAGGCGCTGTCCAAGGTTGGCGGAAGTCTGGGTGGCCTTGATGGAGCTAGCCTGAGAGTGGACGGAGCGAGTGCGCTTCATGGTGGGAGCCGGGGTGGCACCAGTGACTCTTCTCTTGCGGCCAGTGGGTTCCTTCTTCTTGATCTGACCAGCGCCGGGCGAGGTCTCTGGTGAGCTATGGCGCTCGGAGGTGGCATAGTCATGCACGCGACGCATGTGGTCGTAAAGGTTCCATCTCCTTGGGAATCCATTTCCTGGAACGGCACGTTCACAGCCCTCCCACAGGCAGAGGTGGGGGTTATCTCCATGGCCATGTAATCCGTGGGCTTCACGCTCGTGGCGGAACAGACATGCGTTGGAAGAGAAGCGCAGCTGGGCATCAATGCAGGCGGGGACCTTGCAGCGGTATGGCTTCAGATGGGAATCCAGGTACTTGCTGTTAGTTGATATCGGTTAGCTGGGTTCAGAGTACACCAAATGTTTTATCACGGGAGGACTTGCTGGTAAGCGCATTTTTGCGTGGTGGGTGGGTGGTTGCAGGGCTTCTCTCCAGTGGCAAATGGGCAGTAATATTTTCCATCGCTGTGGGTGGACATGGAATAATACTGGTGCTCTCGCGGGTTGCGAGCCTCAACACCTTCCTTGGATCTCTGGCGGGTTGGCTCTCTCACTGGGAGAGTGGGGAAGAAATCAGGATCACTCTTTCCTTGGTGCTGAGAAACAGCTGACAATGCTGAACGGCGGGGTTGCTTTGAGGGTCTGATGGTCCTACGACATGGTGGTTAGGTTTCAGATCAAACGTTTTTCTTCTTCTGGCATATCGGTTTTTCTGACACTCACCTGTTGATATCCCTGTCGTTAAGAGAAGAGCTAGGGAACAAGGGTTCCGCTGGGTTGAGTCCATGAGTCGTTCCAATGGGCGATGTGGTGAAGTCTCCGAGGAGTGCATCATCGGAGGGCATGAATGAAGTGTATCCGGCGTGTGAGCAAGAAGAAGTAACAGACATATCATTGCTAGCGTCGGTCAGTGGTGGAGAGACCGGCACGGTCTGGAAAAGACCCGACGAGAATTGTTCCATGGTGGTTCCTGGGTAATGGGCATCATGCATCATTGGAGTCCATGACTCTGGGCCTGTGATATAGTGGCCGTCCTCGGTACTGTGAGAGCTGTGTCCGATGGAAAGAGCATCATCTGGAGTGCCATTCCCGACACAGACATCATTTTCAACAGAAGAGAAATCCAGGAAGTTATAGAGATCCCGGGTCATTTCATGGTCATTCATGTCAGGGACTGCTGGGAAGTCCACGCCTGGGTACATAACATCATTTGGTCCGACCGTGGGGGTCATCAGCTGCTGAGACAACGAGAAAGAAAGCATGTGCACCTCGGATGAGTCTGGTTTTGACATGGCCTGGTCAAGGGATTCTTGGCGGTTCATTGTCCAGTCTTTCATGTCCTGTGGATTTCCATGGGCTGTACGGATACTTGAGCACAACGAGGAGTTGTCATGGCTCGACATTTCATCATCCTGGATTGATCTTGAGGCCATATTTGAGATTCCTGAAACCATAGAGGTACGCATGGACTGTGAGATAGAGACTCGGTCAGAGTCGCTGCTAGTCCTTGAAGACATTTTGTGTGGTTGTATGATAAAAAAACACTGTAAACCAAGAGTTAGTATCTACTATTCGTCATCGAACAATGAAAATAAACAAAAGAAAAGAAGAAAAAAAGACGAAAAAAAAACAAGACGAAAAGCAAAAACAAGAGCTCCATGGACCAGAGATGATTGAAGACCTAGTGAGAGTCAGTAATGAGAGTAGGGGTCGCGTCACGATTATTTGCACGCACCAGAGTCGCCGTTGTGGGAGTAAAAGTTCCTTGGCCGACCAGGGATTATCGTAAGGTCCTGGTCAAAGTTGTCGTGTCTATATTCGGGTCCAGGTCTGTTGTCAATCCAAGGAAGTGCTAGGTGGTGTCAGGGCGAGGAGAAGCAATTTCATAGCCGGAGTTACTATTTGGTTGAATCATCATCATCCAGGTAAGTCCAGGTAAGTAAAAAAGAAAGTCGTTCATTTTTGTGGCCAGATCAGGTAGGTACACAACGGCCAGATTCCTTAAAGCAAACGGCCTAAGCAAGAGTTGAAAGCGGATGCTTCAAAGGACCATTATTGACACGGAGCAAGCACATTAGCTTGAAAGATTCCTCGGTTGATTCCTTGGGGTAAAGTGGTTCCATTATTGTTGAGAAAGTGGCCATAGTAGCATCAGATTTCCAGGCAAAGAGTCATAATTTCAAGTCCTTTTAAGTGGTTCATGTGGTACATTCCAGGGGCGTTGTTTCCAGTGGCATTGGGGTCCAAGGGTATATCAAAATCCGCACTCAAAACTCCGGTCTTAGAGCTGAGGCAATGTCAAAAAAGAAGAAACATCCATGGTAGTCCAGTGGCAGTGGAAGTCAGGCGATTTGAGTGTGCAACATTAAACACATCTCAAAGAGATTCACTCAGCAGGTGCTGAAGGCAAGTATCCTTGGCAGTGGTTCCTTATTCATGGTCGCCAAAAATTGGCCAAAATTCCGGGTGTGGGAGTAGGTTTAAGGTACTGGGATCCTGGGCAATAGGTTGTCGATATCCTTGGCAAACACAGTTGACAGTGGTACAGGTCCAGAAGACAAAGGGAAAAAAATAACAACGCATAGGAGAACCAATTGTAAAGAAAAAGTGACGGGAGCTACCTATTGTGTTTGTCGAAGTGTGGACAGACTAAAGACAAGCCTGGAAGATAACAAGAAAACAAATCCTGTCCGGGGAGTATGTGGCAGATAGAAAATCCTTGTGGCAGTGATTGTATCAAAAACCAGTGAGTCTTGGGTTAAGAAAGAGAAGTTGTCCTTGGTCCAGGGACTGAGTTGTTGTATGTGTTGTAGAGAGAAGTATGTAAAAGTGTGGGAGATAGTTGCACAATCACACAAGGTAGTTGTAGAAAAAGGGGTATCCAGAGAGTTAAGGAAGGAAGAAAAAGAAGAATCAGAATTAAGGAGGGGGATCAGCGGCCTTTTAGCACACGCACAAACGAAAGCTCGGACTTTGGAGGGTCTGTGGGCCATCAAACATGGCGTGTGCCAGTCTCACATTGCGCAGGAGACGAGTGCGCTGTTGGCACCCTGAGAGCCAGTACTGCAGACTGGCGGTGATGGCACCTGCAGATTGGGGGGGGGTGTTCGTTTGACTGAGTGGAGGGATACCTTCTAGCGGTGAGACGAGCCCGGCGTCTTGAGTGCTTGGCGAGGAGTATGATTGGTGATAGAAGAAAGGACGCTGCAGGATGATGTCCGAATTGGACGATCGGCAGATGCACTCGCGTGTTCGATGAGATGTACAACTTGGTTGCACCTGGACATGTATCGTATGGAGGAGAGAATTCCACGTCGGAGCGCCACGGGAAATATACCTGCAGCATGAGGTCACTTTGTACAGCGTCAAGACTCGAGCATATTATATACGTAGTGAAACAATAAATAAATGGTAAATGGCAAATGTGATTGTAAAGAAATAGAATATAACTAAGATTACTGGATAACGGGACGGGGCGTGCCAGAGTCAGACCCACGTTGGGCAGCAATGCAGATTTTCCTAATTTCAGGTCTTTTTATTTCAGTTAGCCAAGTTCAAAAGAAGTGGTGTATTGAAAAATAAAGGATATCAAGGTTGACAAGATCAGAAAATGTAAAATGGAATATGTTTTCGTTCAGCAATCCGAAGATCTCAGGTGAACTATGCTTTAATATTGGTTGTTCATCACAAAAGGCAAATGCCCTTCGGAATAGAAGGAGAGAGAGAAAAAACAATAATGTGCTTACCTGTTAGCGGGAATTGTCGGGAGTGAGTGATGAGTTGTCATGAAACACAAGTCATATTCGAGGCTGTGGCAGTCAGGGATATGATTGACGGAGAAAAGGAGGAAGAAAAAAGATGAGAAAGATTTTTGTATGTGGTGAGATCACGTGTACATGGGTTTGTACTGTTTGCATTGTTCCCATCCTAAGCAAACACTCACATCCGTCGCTTTAGAGGCTAATCCACTCCCCACTCTCTCCATTCCTTGGCATAATGAATTGGACAGGCGGCCAGCTGCAGCGTCATCACAATCGCTCAGGCCTGTTGACCAAAGCTCAAAAACAGAATTTCGCCAAGTCGAGACTTCAAAAGAACACGGTCATTCCCCCGCCCTCGCCATTTCGTAACTTTCTTAATATTGGATTCAAGGGCTCGAGCACTAGAGAAAAGGATGAGGCAGAGACAAATGGAAATCAGTCAGTCAAAAACTGTTGATTGGTTCTGACTTTGCCTCTGGTAATTCATGTGGTGGGCCTTGTACTAACCCATGATTGCGCCGATTCTAGAGTTGCGGAAGAACCGGCCTTGCATTCGACTGGTGATCGGTCCTCTCGAAATGGCACTGGCTTGAGCGAGGTCAAGCGCCAGCTGCTGAAAGAACCTGATTGGGCAGCTGTGTCTGTTACACGTCCACTTGAGCTTGCATTTACATCTGTGGAGGAAGTCGAGCGGTTTGGGAAGCGACGAAAGCTGAATGACAAGGACAGAAAACGACTGGTAGCTAACAACAATGAGGCTATCTTTTTCGAGCGACCCAGACCTCCACGAAGAAGCAGAAATTCATCTTCGGTGATCGATACCACTAAAGAAGACATCCAGTTTGAGATCAACGGACGACCAGTGGCGCAATCTAATGGCAGCTCAGGGGTGGTCATGAACAGCATATCATCACAGTCAATGTTACTTGACCATGAAGGATCTCCTTCTGTGGAACAGTACCTGGGGAAAGAGAACCTGACAGCTACCTGGGTTGCCAATCTGTTTCCCCGTTCGCAATGACCTCGGCGTGGGCTATGACCCAGCAGTGTATAATGTTGAGGTGAAGTCAAATGAATGTCGCATGTTCTCAGAGTCCGCATCTCAGATCGGTGCGGGGAAGCACATCTCTTACTCCGGCGGAACTCTCCTATGGGTAACCTGCTAGCTACGTCGTAGACCAACAGTAACATGGCAGTGCCGTTAGATCTTTCCGAGGTGCGCAAGCAACACCGCCTAAGGCACCTGAAGGGAAACACTTAGTTCATTATACCAGGAATAAACCACTAATATCCCTGGATCCAGTCAAGCCTGCTACTTAGTCTATTTTACATGTACATCATATAATGTAACTGTTTTTTGTTCTTATAGATATAGATTACTGCATTCGGTCATCACATGATTTGTACTTGCCGAAGCAACGTCATTTCCGTCTCCACAGCCATCTCCAATTATCAACGGCGCGGGCATCTTGAAGATCACTTGGCAGTTCCATCATTCAATCATGCGTTCAATTATACTTTTAGCTACACTAGCTACCAATGCTCTCTCAGTCGCGCTCCCGTGGCAATCCACCACAGATGCAGCCAGCGGAACCCAGCTTCCTCTCGTGATCTGGCACGGTCTGGGTGACGACTTCGAACGCGAAGGGCTCACTCAAGTTGCCAAACTAGCCGAATCCACCAATCCCGGCACATACGTGCACCTCATCCGACTCGCCAACGACGGCAGCGGAGACCGCTCCGCAACCTTCTTCGGCAACGTCACGGAGCAAATCGCCCTAGTCTGCGAACAGCTCGCCGCAGACCCAATCCTCAGTACAGCGCCAGCCATCAACGCGCTAGGTTTCTCACAAGGTGGTCAATTCCTACGCGGGTACATCGAGCGGTGCAACACCCCACCCGTCCACAACCTCGTCACATTCGGCAGTCAGCACAACGGCATCTCGGCGTTTGAGTCGTGTGACTTTGGCAACTGGTTTTGTAAAGGGGCGGAGGAACTATTACGATCAGGGCGGTGGACGAGCTTTGCGCAGTCGCGAGTCGTGCCGGCACAGTACTTCCGCGACCCAGAAGAACTGGATTCGTACCTCGAGCACAGCAATTTCCTAGCGGATATCAACAATGAGCGCGTGGTCAAGAACGAGACATACAAGAAGAATCTGGCGTCGTTGAATCGGTTTGCGATGTTCATGTTTGAGGAAGATACTGTTGCTGTTCCTAGGGAAAGTGCTTTCTTCTCCGAGGTTAATGCCACTACTGGCGAGGTGACGCCTCTCCATGAGAGGCCGATCTACAAGGAAGATTGGCTGGGACTGAAGCAGCTTCATGAACAGGGGAAGCTAGATTTCAATACTGCCCCTGGTCAGCATATGCACCTGTCTGAAAAGACCCTGCGCAAGGCTTTTGAACAATATTTTGCTCCGCTAAAGGAGTCGAGTCGTTCGGCGCCTGGTCTCGTTGTGCAGCAGCGCGGGCTTTAGTCGATCTCTCTTCTCTTGGGCGTTTTCTTTTACCGTATGATATCCCACTGCGTGTGCTTTCTTTTAGATACTAGTAGCAAAGTCAAAGTCCAATCGAATACCGCATATGGCTATCTACTTACACATGTATACAACTACGATGCCTTGCCATGTTTGTTCTAGCACCGTCTATTTTATGTCTACCGACAATGTAGCTATGTAGATACACCACACTGCGACTATCCATCGCAAGTTTAACAAATAAAAAAATGTGAGTGCCTGAGCTTTCAAAATAAAATATGCAAGTGGAAAAGAAAAAGATCACAAGGATAGACACCGAATGGGGGAAACCAACAAATCAGAAAGGACATGCGTGTCTCGAACAGGTTAGAGGTTTACCAGCCAGCAACCCAGCCAGCAACCCAGCATTCAACATGAGCGAAGACAATATCCATGCAAGGAAAGGCGGGGTGGGGGGGAAAGAACCGATAACAGAAAGAAAATTATATAAACATATGAAGAGCCAGGGAATTGAGATGGCTGCAAAGATGCTTGGAGAATGACGCAAAGGTGCAAATTAAACAAAAGGATCAATAAGGTGGCCGACCAAGGCCTCCGCTAACCTGTCGCCTGCTGTGAGATCCGCCCAGCGGAGTCTTAGAAGCAGGTTTGGCAGTTTCTGGGCGGTTCCCATTTGTCAGCGTGGTCTCGCCAGGCGAAAGGAACCCATCCAAGAGCTTCCTCAATTGATCTTGGTGGTTGCCTTCCAGGGCATTGGACTCATAGTCGGTTGAGAGTTCAGGAAGTCCAGCTGTAGCAAGACTATGGTTGGATCGGCTCTTGTTGCGATTTAGAGGTTTGTTGTTTAAGGCACTAGCTTCAGCCCTGTCTCTCACCGAAGACAGTGGCGAGGGACCCGGCGCGGTGGATGGGCGATCATATGATGTCAGCGAACGCTGTGAGCCGTTCGGGAAACCACCTGGGATCGACAAGCCGACTGGGATCGGTGGGACGGGAGGGATTTCTGCGTCTGAATCAACACGATTCGGAGATTCGTCGGTTGAGCCTTTATCGCCTGGGAGATTATTTTCCGCGGCCGAAGCGCGGGGTGTCTCTGTTCCATCTTCACCGAGTATTTGTTGACTCTCTGGTTGGATTGAAGCAGCATCTCCATCTATCTCGGAAACAGAGAAGTTGCCGCTGATCATGCTTTCGCTCCCAGAAGAAATGGAACTGGCATTCGACGCGTCAATTCGTCCACGCAATGGACTGAGGCGTCGATCATGGGAGTCGTTAGTAACCGAAAGCACGCGTCGAAGCTCATTGACGCGGACGGGAGAGCCTCTGCTCGAGCCGTGGGATGACGAGCCCGATATCTCCGGAATGCTCATGCGGCGGTGATGTTGAGACCCGGCGGGTGAGCCATTCGTAGCCCCGTTGGTTTGGTTGTTGCGAGCATTTGCAGTAGCTCGAGAGCCATTGATGGATGACGCTCCAGTGCTTTCCTTATCGAGAGTTGCCAAGCATGCCTCGCGAGACCACGGAGACAACATCTGTTCTCTCACGACGGATGGGAGGCCGCCCTCAACCTGGGATTTCACTGTTCCTGTGGAGTGTCCAAGGACCGGGAATGTAAATCCTCGTGCTGGAGAAGAGATCGAGGGGCTTCGTGGAGGAGAAGGTGTCGATTTGCGGTAAGACTCGTCAATCATATAGACAAGTCCTTCGACATTACGGAAGAGTGTCAATGGAGGCGGCGTGGAATCATTGCCAGACCTCCCCTCGTTGTCAAAAACAATGGCATAAAGATCGACTGGCGGCAGGCGGATTTTGGAAAGCCAATATCCCTTGGCTTGTCGTTCTTGAATCTCATTACTTATCTCAAGACCCACGGGGGAAGACTGCATGTCGAAATGCTCAGACAGCGCAAGAAGGTATCCGTGTACCAAGCTTCCAATGTTAACGCGAGCTGCGAAGGAACTCAGATCCATAGATGTAAACAAGTCGTCTTGCAATTTAAGGATCATAGGAAGACCGAATTGAGCGGCATTCACCCCGAGGTTCTCGACAAGCTTTGCAAGAAGTAGGTGCAACAGAAGAACCTCGGACTCCTCGCCAGCTAACTCGAGTGCAGCATCGTAGATACCCAGGTGCAGGAGACGGAGGAAATTTGACTGTGCCACCAGCCCCACTTTGTCCCTCTGGTTCCCAGAGGCTGAGGTACCTCGTCGAGTCGACCTATCCGTCTGCTCGGGGTCTCTCTTCGAGGTTGTCTTGATGTACTTGGGTGAATCTAATCGCACCTTGAGGTCGCTCCCATTGGTCTCAATCTGCAGCCATGACAGGAATGCATCGGTATAGGCATACCGAACATCACGGTCCACATCACGAAGAAGGACTTGGGTTCCTTCCCACACATGGATTCCGACTGGATGTCTAGATTCCGCGCCAGACATGGTTGCTGGCGTCCTTGAATTCGCCACAACCAAGATAGCCTTGACAGCTCGGAGAGCAGTCAGTTTAGTGGCAGCATGCGAGAAGCATTCTGTGTTTGGTTTCTCTCCATTTGTCTCGGATCCGGAATTTGTCGATCCCCCAGGTGTCAATCCAGTTTCGTGAACAGTTGCCAATGGAGATGGTGTGGAACTCTCATGGTGGAAACTAGGCTTGAAACGCCTGAGAATAGCCCGCATCATATCTGCGACTTGGTCTCCGTAGTAGATGTGCGTTGCAAGATCTCCAATACACTGCTCTAGTAGCGTAAGAAGATCATGTCGTCGGGGAGAGATCGGTGACACGATTTGAGTTTGTCGATTTGGTTCCTTCTCTGATTCTGCAGACCCAGTACGCTCTGGTGGTGAGAGTATATCAGAAGCGTAGTGCATGAGTCCATAGAGGATGTCCATGACACTGAGTCCAATCATGTTCACAGACGATCTGAGAAGCCAATCCACCACAGAGAGAATGGTGAACGATGCCTCTAACGCATCCTCCTTGGGGCTCGTATCGTGGAGGATTTCCATAGCTGTGATCAAGATGATAAAACGAACTTGCACCGGACACCAGTTGGCAATAAGTTCGATCAGAGATGTTGCCCAGTTGCCACCTTTGCCCTCCATGATCTGGACACGCTTTTCGCACTGTGGGAAGCCCTTGCTTGAGATGAACTGTAGAATGACCGTTACTGTAATACGGATCTGGCCCCGGTTACTCCCCGAAACGATGGTTTGCTCGAGACAGCGCAGGGCCAAGAGCCGAGCGTCCATTTCCGCCTTTCGATCCGCCTCGGCGGCTGACTGTGCTGCCAGCTCGGGGTCCCCCTCTGCCGTATCCACTGTGTGCACCGTGTTGACACTCATTCGGCGGGGTTTGGGCGCCTCACGTTCATTCAAGTCGGTTTCGGTTAGCTTGGCCTTCAAAGTCGGAAGAAGATCCTCATCGTCAGAATAGAGGTTCTTCAGGATCACCGGCAAACAGAGCTTCAGCGATGTTCCTCCGTCGGCGGCCATGGTCTCTGAGCTGACCACGCTTCTAATGGCTAGCAATCCTACGTTTCTCCATCGGATGGCCACCTGAGGGCTGAAATTTGCGTTCGGGTGGGATGTAAATCCCGGGTCGGCAAAACTGGCGTAGGTTCGCACGACTTCTCGGTATTGCTGGGCGAGGCCCTGGTCAGCCGCGATAGCCGCAATATCCTGATGCCGGCAGAACATTTCGAAGGCGACAATTGATTCCTCCACCATATTTATGTCATTGGATCGCAAAACGGTATCGATGATTGTCATGACGGATCGGGCGTAGATAGGAAGGTCGCGAGGAACTTTTTCAATGAGCGCAGCCAGGATATGCAGGGCCACCTGGACATTTCTGTGTAATGAGATCGGTCAGCCATTCATCTCGAGTGCGCATGATTCGGTTGATCAGAAATCTGTACTCACCCTATTCTGCGTCTCCAGACATCCCGGGCAACTCTCTTCTCCAGGAAACCGCCGACCTTGGTCAGTTTGCTGCGGCGCGTGCTCGTATAATACAGCAGGTATGAGAGTTCGCTGGGATTCGGCCGGACTTCCGATACCCCCTTCTGGTATTTAGGATAACATTTTAAGGTCAAGACCTGGTGCTTTGGCCGACAAGACTGGCGAACGGACTCCATTGGAAAACGTAGTGCCACATGCAGTTCCGGGTGACGGGGATCCACGAAATAGCGCAACGGACTTTGTATGTGTGAAGGCAAATTGGAGACAAGTCGGAGGGGTTGCTGGATGACTAGTTAAGGGCCATAGGAAAGATGGAATGCCCGAACCGCAACGTGGAGGAGTTGATGAGGTACGGATAGTTCAGGGCGGATCACCAGGGGGTGGGGCTCTATTATAGTCTGAAAATGACCCAGAAATCTTTAAAATGGAAGTGAAAACATCGAGCTGGAAGTTGAGAGAGGAAGGAAAAAAAAACCAAAACAAGGTTGGGCTCTCGGGAACTTCTTGGGCGTATTCTATATTGCCTTGTTTATCTGACATTTACGCCCTGGAGTACCATATAGGGTACTTCTTATAGAAGGGCTTAATCTTTGGGGATAATTTATATATATTTTCTCACTCAAGATTGAGAAAATACTGCCTGTAGTAATTGCCAGAGCATATGTGGTAACCCCAAAATGACTACATACCTTCAAGGGGCTATATAGGTACAATACCAACCTGGAAGCTTCACGCTTGGTCCTTTCCCCCCGCCTCTGTTGTTGAAAAGTTGATCCTCTAGAGCCTCGGCCTAGGTCCTCGGTCACAGGTGATAGATACCTAAGCATCTTATGGCCACTCGGCCACGCTCTATAAAACCCCCATAGGACGTTAATATAGCAAATTTACGCCATGCATGCCGATTAATTAGCCATTAGTCATTACTAACGGTCTGGATTGCATTCTTTTACTTTTTTTTAAAATCCTATGTCGCTTATATTCTTTCTTAACCACCGAGGCATAGACTTCAATAATATGTAGATCCCTTAAGATCCACAATCCGATTCATTCTTAGTGTCCTATCGGAATTGGTTTCGAGGTGAAACCTGTTCCATCTCTTCTATATCTACTAGTATGACAACCTTGGAAGTCTGCTAGGTCATTCAAATGGGCATTTTGTATCGTAGTGGGCTTGGACAGAATCAGCTTAAGAAAATCCGATTTCCCAGGGATATACCCACTTCTTGCTAGTATCCCACCTTCCAGATGTCTCTTGAAAGATGGAAAACAGTACAAAGTGAGAAGAGTCACGCTCAAAGCAGACCACTCAACTTTGTCAAAAGCTGATTTTGGTGGTAATAAAATCACCGGAGTGTAAATGTCATGTGCAATGTACAACTTGGATCTGCCAGGGCGCGGTGTGTTTGTATGTTTTGCAGGAAACATGCCCACCCATCTCGGTCGCATCGAACGTAGGTCCTGGATTTAGGCCCATCATGTCTTTCCATTTGGACCATCCTGCTTTTCATCTGCTGTATCGGTCTCCGTCTGAGCCGGGTCAGGGACACTGACCCCTGCCAGACCTTCAATGACCTGGGGTAGAATAATGTCACGGCGGAAGTTGTCCTCCTGGAGCAGTCGAAGCGCTCGTAATGTGGGGCCCGGGTGAGTGAGAAACTGAGAGTACTCGGGTGTCTTCCAGTAGGAGTAAAGGTAGGCTAGGTAGGCTGCAAACGCCTGGGCATCTGGCGAAGAGGAATCATCGTCATCATCGGCACGAGAGATACCCAAGAGATTGGGATATGTGACTGCCAGGTGTGACAGATAGTAAGGATTGGCGAGAGATGAGACGAACTCAAGTTCGAGAGTGAAGCGCGGGTTGGTCAGGGTTGGTCGATCCTCCATGGTGGTGATGCAGAGAAGTGTCGAAATGGCAGAAGCTGGGGAGCTTCAAAGGTGGGACTCTACGGTGGACGACAGCGTCCATTGAGGTCAAATACAAACATCGAAACAATAAAAATACATATCTCTTATTCAAGCTGAAAGAAATCTCAATTTCAAAAGAATTCTAATATGCAATGCCTCGGCTCTCATAAAATGTCTATACCCACTGAACTCTCTGCCGTTGATCCATACTCCAACTATGTACCCTTCTTTCTTAGCTTCCATCTACATCCTATACCATCTCAACTTTCAACACGAAATGTGATTGGAGTAGCTTCAAATTCCTTCAAAATCCCAGCATTCTCTAGCATGGCCCTAGCCAGCTGAGTCCACTGAGATACCTTCAGTGGCAAAGCCAAGAGTGTCAGCATATCTTGCTGGTTGGGCTTAGCTAACAAAGGCAGTTGCTTTAGCGACTCATCCCAACTCCCAGGATAGTTCTGGGCAATGGTAGTGCCTATTGGCATTGGAATTCTTCCTATTTCATGGGGCTGGATAGCCACACGGTGGTAGTGCAGATGGTCCCCAACTCTGTTAGGCGCAATAAAGTGAATGTCACCAGCATCTTTATTGGCTTTGACCAAGATTGCCAAGCCACCTTCGGGGTGAGTGGGTTGTATTTTGACGAGGTAGACCGTGTATGTGGTATTGGTCAAAGCGATCTTATCCATGCTGCTGGTGATATTCTCCACAGTATTACCGATGCTGTCCATAGTATGTGGTCGCTTTTGAGGTTTTCCTTGTAGGACTCGGGGAATAGAGAGCTTGATGATGTAGACTTGGAGATAATATGGAGGCAGATTTATAAGGCGAACGTTCGCTCTTAAGTATCCCTTGTCTCTTGTTCTATTCTTATTCTGTTTCTTTTTTCAAAGAAATCATAAAAGCGCCTCTCTATTGTTTGAAATCTGTTCAGTCTCCCAAGCCGATACCAGTGATCCAATATTACTCTACCTATAGAAGCCGACTTGTAAGCCGATAAATACCAATAGGTTCAATAACACGGACTATATACACAACAGAATCAACAGATCAGTCTCACTGCTTCAACAACTTGAGCCAGTTTGCCATTTGGGGAGAGATCATCAAGATCTCCTTAGTTGCCAACTGGGTCAAAATCTTCGCAGAATAGGACTTCCGCGGCTGACTTCTCCCCTCCACGTCGATGAGAGATGCAGCCCTCATAATCAGTTGACTACCCGGGCACAGATCAGGCAGACACTGCAGCACCTCGTCCCAGTTTTCACGATAGCCCTCAAAAAGGGTAGTCCCTAAGAATTAGAGATTGTAATTTGCTGTTAAAGGCCGGTGAAACACGCCCGATGAGCTGTTACTGTGGGCGATGAAGGAGTGGAGGTCGCCTTGTATCTTTTCATGTATCTTCCCATTCTTCTTCTCATTGGATTAAACGAAGATGTTTGAGTAGGTTTGTTCGAGGCCAGAAGCAGTGGAGACAGTGTATACATTGAGGGGTTTCGGCGAATATCGGCCCATGGTGTAAAATATGTAGGCGAGTTTGAAGGGATACAGAGCTCAATTATGGATAGAGCTAGAGATGATGGAGACAGATTTTCACGGCAAATGTTACTTCTTAGATATCCTGAGGATCATCACTGATATAATATTGCGTATGCATATGTATACAAAGTCATAGCAACAATCGTTACCAGTTTCAGTGGGCGTTAGCTACAGCTAGAAACATAGTAGCAACGCATGGTTTGAGATACCACCTACAGAGAGCATTGTGCTGTCTTCTAATGGAGGCCCGAGGGAACGAAAAATGCAAAACTTATATCGCACGAAAAATATATGCATGGCGCTTGGCTTGCCAGTGCGCATAATGAAACTTCATATTTATATCTTCGATTGCCCTAAAATATATAGAATCCATTAATAAGAGCATGGTCATCGATTCCCATACCTAAACCATAGGATGTACAATGGTCATTCGCCGGCCATAGGGTGGTGGTATCACACATGACCTGGTGTCATGAAACGTATAGAATCTTACAATAAACGCGCGGCATACATAATTAAATGCCATGTCTGAGTATGACTGTTACTCTTACCAACAGACCAGGGATTAAACAGCGTTAGAACCAACTACTTCAATTATCATATCCTATTGAAAGCTACTGATATGGGGAACAGCAATTGATAGGAAAAAAATACATGTTTCTGAAAGCAAGGCTGATTGAGATACAATAAGGGAATAAACTTGGAAACTCCGAATCATAGCCTGGATCTCAAGACTTTAAGATCAGGGCATTCTGTTTCATGGCGGTCTGGAATCAGAAGCAGTTTTAAGCCTTCTATTCCGAAATATATGAACGCCATGTTGAGCACCGTGTGTTCATCGGTGCTCGATGCTGGGTATTAACGCGTGGAATTATCCCTCCTCCATGGAGGAGTTGGATGGTGAGATGGTAAGGGGAATCATGGGATTGACACATCCCGGAGGTGCATCCGAATGAGAAAGGCCCGCTCGCTACATCGATATATTTCCAGGGTAGGCTCAACGTGTGATTGCTAGGTGACTCAGTCGCTAGTACGTCTTTCCGGCTTGGGTTTGCGCAGACTCTTCATCCGGTTCAAGAACCCACCGCTACCACCAGGGTTAAGCTTCGACTCTTCGTAAGGTCGATCGTTGGTGGGTTTGCGCTCCAGTCCAGTAGTTTGCTTGGGACTGCTAGACGATCGAAGTCGGCCGCCTCCAAGACGAGCTTCGATACTCGATCCCTTCTTGTCCCACTCTTCCTCGTATTCGTCTTCTTCTTGGAAGTAAGGGTTTCTTTCGTTGCTCCGGGCGGATGTAGAATGACTGGAGCTCACTTGTGGCGCGGGGGAATAGTTGTCAGTTGGAGAAGTAATGCGGCCAGGTCCAGCAGCTCGTCCACGTAGTCGCTGGGCCAAACTCTTCTTTCGTGCAAGGCCACCACCATTCGGTGCTGGGGTGCCTTCATTCTCGCTCTGACGGCGTGCCATGGCAGACCGACTAGCCGGGACTCCATCGAGGAAGGTGCTGGTTCCAAGTCCCATACTCTGTGGTCCATGGATCGGGTCCACTCGAGCAGTGGGATCAATGACGGCTGTTTCGGGGTTGCGGCGAGCAGCGGTGGAGAAATCGTTGTGACCTTCCTCCATTCTGCCATGGAAAAGGTTGAGATCGATGTTTGAGTTGTTGGGGCCTGCGCCGCCCAGAGCCATGTTGGTGGAACCTTTGGGGAAAGCTTGCATTGGCGCGGTACGCACACCGCGGCGATTGCGATGGGGGTTACAGGCATCAAATGGACCATCGTGGTGGAACACTATTACGATAATTAGCATATTAGTCGTGTACTCGTGAAAGAGAAAGTGCGAAAGAAAAAAAAGCCAGGGTACTTACTTCCAGTACCGTAGATACTCGTCACATCCAACTTATCAATAATATCAAGTCGTCGATCCTTGCGACCCGACCGCGATTTGCCATCTTTGCTACGACCATCGCGCTCACGATGACGCCGTTCGCGTCGGCGCTTCTCGTCATCATCAAGATCCAGCAACTTCGAGCCTCGGTCCATTACCGAGGACTCCGAGTTCCGCCGGGGACGACGGGGCGCCTTATCCTTGGCGGTTTGGGATAACGCAGGGGGGTCAGCGAATATGTCGAGCAGGTCTTTCTCTTTCGGCGCCGCTGATCGTCCTGGTGGGCGCTCCCTTGAGGGTCTGTTGCGATTCGAGGAAGTACGTTGGGTGGAATCAGGTGCGGGGTGAGGACGATTTGTCTGGGAAGCAGGGTTGAGGGAGAGGGATTCCTGGTAAGAGGTTAGACCTGATTTGAACACATAGGTTCAATATTCCTGGACATACAAAGAGCTCCCGAGTATTGCTCGAAATATCGGTCTTCTCAATCGGAGAAAACATACTAGCACCGGTCGACATGCCAGGGGCAGACTGCGGGGACATCGCCTCAGTGTCGTCTAGGAATGGATTTGTCGAACGTGGGCGTTCCGGACGGTTTGATGAAACAGACCCAGCGACTGAGGGGGAAAGAGCGCGGTTTCGGAAAGGGTTATTGGAGCCAAAACTGGCAGCTGTTGGAGACGGTTGGTGTTCTGTTCGTAGAGACGTTTCAAATCAGTCACAAGTAGAAAGGTATATTTGGGACCAACAAGTCCAAGGGAATGTGTCATTTTTAAGGATCAGAGAGGGTTCAAACTATCCCCGGCCACGCATGAGATCCATCATAGGTGCTTCAGGTTACGTACCTTGCGGGGCCAGCGAGACGCCCGGCGCATACCCAAGCGCTGGAGTGGCATTCATTGTGATGGATATTCCACCTCTGAAACAAGGTGTGGGTGGATAGGCTGTTTGCGTTCAATGAGATGTCGCGTTGAGTGTCGCACGAATGCGGAAGAGAGTGGCAGGAGGTATTGCTGAAACAGTGATAATCAGGGGTAACAAGGAAATATCAACTGTCAATATTTCCGTCAATACAAAATTAAAGAGAGAAAGGGAAAAAAAAAAGAAAGGAAGTTTAGGGAGAAAGGAGGGGGGGGGGGCAAGGGGAACACGGGAGAGGCGAGCATACGTAAAATGTCCAAGTGATCGTCTCCTTTGATATCTGCCTTTACTGGCCCTGTCGATCGTTTATATTTTATATTTTACATGTGCTATTATGCCTTGCTGTTCTATTAATTGTCTAAAGTTTTTTTTTCTTTCTGGAGAATCCCCAGACTGGCTTTAATATAGTCTCAGGGGGCCAAACCATGAGGTCCCACTTTGGCACGTTGTGACAGTTGAATACTAACTTGCTATGTACAGTGACTTTAAAGGGACATCAAGAGACGTCAAGAGACATCGAAAGGCATCGAAGGACATCGAAAGACATCGAGAGACATCAGACACCCTGAAGGGAGATTCTGAAATTCCTCGGTTGCCAAAAATAGCCAGGGAATGACGTTAGCACGTTGACATTCCATCTTGATGTCATCTTCTAGTCCTGGAATGTGTAGACAAGATATCTTCTGTCAGGTTACTTTCAATCTACAGATCCCACACGAGAGAGAGATCCGGAGCTCATCTCCCGAGTCAAGGGAGAACGCAACCCCAGTTCCCATGAGCGCAGTGCAGTGCCCAGCAGTGATACCCACAGAAGGTTGGAATGCTGAGCGGTGACTAGATGCCAATTCAAATGATACCTCTATTTGCATACAGCACGTCGAATTTCGAATACTATATGGAGTACCTCTCCAGATAGTCTAACCGGCATATGATAGATAATGCGGAGAACTCGGCAGATAGCGAACATTCCTCAGTTTGGAATGCGATCTCAAATGAGGTCATAACCTGAAGGAAAGCATTGTCGAACTTATACAGATAAGCTACATATATTGTTCGAATTGGTAAAGACATATTCATCCCATGAGATATATCACCCTGATAGACCGGTATCGGAACACCATCTTGTATTGCCATGTCTCACACCGACTTGCCCTAGTTATATACCGGATGTGGATGGAGAGGGTTTGGTTGAGAAGAGAGGTATATATAAAAGTTGATACAAAATAAAGTAAGTATCCGGTATTCTAGCACGTTGGGTATATGTAGGTAGGTCTGTTAATATAAGAGTTACTTATGACTTATATATAGTGCCGCGCGTTCTAGGGTGGCGAGAAGCGAGTACAGCCCGCTACATGACAATCTAAGTCGATCTCAAATATATAAACTCGAACATTGAAATATCATTCATTGGTTTTCCATTCATTACCGTATCATGGCCCAATTCGAGAAACCCCTATCATAAACGCCACACAAATAAAATGCAAACAAGATGGTATAAGACACAAAAGAAACCATGCGACCGGGGCACCCCTAGCCCTCCTTCTAGAAAGTTGTTCAATGCGCGGTAGACTGAGCCCGTGGCAGGTGAGGGTTTGAGACAGGGATGCCCGCACGTCGCTTCGATTGGGGCTTGGGTCTGGAGAGTGTATATCTGAGAGAAAGAGGTTAGTACGATATTCTACTAGATTCAAGAACCGAAAGAAACATACTTGGCAAATGCACGCGAGAGTGCCTTCTTGCAGCTGACTTTTTGGCTGCCGATGAACGAATCCACAGTAACAGCGATGGCACGGTCAATGTCCAGCGAGGAGCAGTACTCCGAGAGGCGCATCTTGCAGAAAGATTCCGCAATACGCATGATAGCTTCAAGGTGACGAACCTAGGAATTTGGAGTAAGAAAAGTGTCAATGTATGAAAAGTGGAGAGATAACTTACTGTGATAGGGTACGCTCCAGTAGCAAGGGACTCACGGCGCATGTCTGCGAAGAGACGAGCAACCTTGTCCTGATCGATCTGATAAAGCTTGGGGTGGCAGCGCTCTCGAGCATACATAATATACTTCCGCAGGAGCTCCTGCGGGATCTCGCCCTCCCTCTCCTCTTCGGCTCTTTGTTTCTCTGCCGCGCGTCTGGCGATCTCCTCCTGTGACGGAGGAAGTCTCTGACCATCTCTGTTGATACGGTAACCCTCGCCGTCAATGAGATTGCCGTCGGAATCAACCATGTCGCCCTTTTCGTTTCGGAGGGGACGGGCAGGGTTGGAACGGTGGTGCGACTCAATCACGAAATTGGCCAAGCGCTCATCCTCGGCAGGGTCAACCAGATCACGCACCACACAGAGAATATCGAAACGAGACAAGATAGGGTCTGTCAAGTCGACATTCTCCGAGAAGGGGATCGAGCTGTTGTACCGACCACCCTTCGGGTTAGCGGCGGACACGACAGCACAGCGAGCCTGCAATGTTGTCACAATACCGGCCTTGGAGATGGAAATGGTTTGCTGTTCCATGGCTTCGTGGATAGATGTCCGATCCTGGTCGTTCATTTTGTCGAACTCATCGATAAGACAAACACCCCGATCAGCCAACACAAGCGCACCACCTTCCAACGTCCATTCGCTGGTGAGAGGATCGCGGCGAACACTGGCTGTAAGACCGACGGCACTAGCACCCTGACCAGTGGCAAACACGGCACGGTGGGCTGTCTTCTCAACGAACTTGAGCACCTGAGACTTGGCGGTACCGGGGTCACCAAGAAGAAGGACGTTGATATCACCACGGATATTCATCTTGCCCTGTGCCTGCTTGCTAACACCACCAAAGAGCGAAAGCGCAACAGCAGTCTTGACGTCCTGGTGGCCGTAAATACTGGGTGCCATAGAGCGAACAATCTTGTCCACAATATCAGGGTCACGGGAGAGGGCCCGAATTTCGCGCTCATCCTCTTCTGTCAGGTTGAAACCAGCCAGCTGGTCGTGTGCCTTGACCACATGGTTGGCTTCAATTACGGTAGCGAAAACTGGGAAACCGTTTTTGTTGTTCAGTTGGGCATCGTAGCTGTTGCGGTAGACGCCGGTAATCTCGATCTCATCACCGGGTTTGGCACTGTCGATCAGATCGGCAAGCAAAACGACCTCACGCTGCCGCGGTAGACGACCTGCGGGAACCGAGCCGGGCGACTCCTGCAAAGTCAACTTCTGGTAGTTGCGGTAGACTGTCTTTTCAGAATTGACAGTGAAGGGACCACGCGACTGGCAGTTCTGACAGAAAGAGATCTTCACCTCCGCACTGGCTTCCTGCTGGAACGGACCCAATGTGATACCACACTTCTGGCAAAGGAACATCACATACTTCAACTGCGGGAAGACACCAGTTCGACGGGTAACGACACCACCGACACGAATCAAGCAGTTGAGATGCGACTGGCGCAGTTGGCGCAAAGTGTAAATGATTGGCACATCGGTGATGCGGACGTGGATCTCGTTGTGAATATCATGATACTGTGGGTAGTGGAACAGAGTAACGTCGAGCGCAACCTGGTCAAACACCTTCAGGACTTCGGTGGGCTCGTTGGCAAGGAAATATGACAGAGCTGCCTTTGTCTCACTTAGGTGGGCGTAAGACACCTCCAGCGAAGCGGAGTTTACTTCACCCAATGTCTTGATTCGGTTACCGTAAACAGACTGGCCGGTGGGGTCGATAAACTCTGTCAGGAAGGCCTTGAATTCACGGTAGATGGAGCGAAGGACCTGGGGCTGAGTCACCCAGTCCGTAATGTTGGCTGCCTTCACATCTGCCAGTTCCTCCAATGACAACTCTTCCATACCCTCGTCGGCCATGTCAATATCTTCACGGTCTTCATCATAATGGTGTCTGCGTCGTCGGGGTTGGCGCGACAGGTCCAATTCCATATCGTCATCATCTTGTAAAAAGGCGGCAGGCATGCGGCGCCGACGTGCCAGTTCACGATCTCTCTGGTTCAGGCGAGCATCCAACTGCCGACGAGTTGCGGCATCAATTTCATCATGGTCTTCGTCATCATCGATGTATCCTTCATTTTCATAGCGATCTTGTGCTGCATCGCGATAATCCCGCTCGAAGTTGTCACCGAACAGGTCAATGCCATCCTCGTCTTCAGCCAGTTCATCAATATCATCAATATCTTGCACAAGACCTCTGTCCTCATCCTCATCTTCATCTCCCATGTCAAAGGGGATTGGGGGAGGGGAGGAGCCCAGAGCAGTGGCTACACATGAACATTGTCAGTCTCAAATTGGCGCAGCCCCGACAAAGAAGACAACATACGACTGGAAGGAGGCAATGGCGCCGGGGAGGACATGTCATCCTCTCTGTCTCTCTTACGATTATTGGCCCTCAGGCCACGGTTTGCGGCCGAGTCGCTGGCTCGGAGCGGACTGTAGTGCATTAGTTTTTGAAGCGCAGAAAATTCAGGAGGAACACTCACTCCATTGTATGGGTGTTTTAACAGGCAAATTTAAAAAAAAAGTGCAGTCGCCAGGAAATTATGAGTATGGATAAGTGGCGTGTATGTTTCGGGGTTTTTTTTTCTCGAATGTGTGGTAGCGTGGTTGATAGAATGAAGGGAGGGAGAAGGGGCGGCAAAGTCTAGCTGTGCAGCGAGTCGCGTGTTGGACGCGACGCGTTTCAATTAAGCCCCGATTGGGAAGGTGGGCTTTCCACAGTTCCCTATATTCACATACTTTTCTGGTTTCTTTTGTATATATATATATATATCGCAATTTAAGTGGAAATAGAGTAACAAAAAAAGTGAAGATAAAAAACATGCTAAAGAAGTGGGCAAAAATTGAAATCTCAAAAATTCAATGATCGACGCAGGGATCGAACCTGCGACCTTCTGTGAAACTCCAACATATTTAATGTAAGACAGACGCCTTAACCACTTGGCCAGTCGATCAATTGGGATGGAAGTTCGTAACTTTTACAATTTTTCAAGACAGATATTTTCTACAGATTTGGCCATTCTCCCGTATGGTATTCGCAGAGGAAACCCCAAATCTTGTCATCTAAGTTACTACCTATACAGTCTTCTCTCACTTTCTCTTCTGCCCATCAGGTGACCTAAGTTTTGATCACACACACCATACTTTCAAAGATTCCTGCCTCTCGAGTTACGTCATTTTGATGGAACATGGACCCATTGCCCCAGGAAAAAAACATCGTCGCGACAAGATAAGAGGCGGAGATTATCGTGAGACGGTGTAGGAAGTAATCCATATGAAAAAAATTGCAGGAATAAGGCAGCTCGATTTCTGGCAATGTACTTCTGGACTCGCTTTACCGTGACCATGAGCCTCCATTAGTGAAGCCTAAATTTATTAATGATGGATGACCTAAGGTTGGAAATGTCGAGGTGATACGGAAAGATACTGTATAATGTAGACCGCCCTGATGTTATTGCATCTGCCGGCAGAAACTTTAAGTTATGTCGCGACTCTCTCACGTCGCGTCGTTTTCAACACATCACTTTGACACTCGTGACTTTGGGTTTTCGTTACTTGCCAGTTTCTACGATAAGGACACAAATAAACCCCACAGCAATGGACGCCCCGAACTCGGTTGTTGCTCAGCTCACCGAGGATGCTCGTAGCGAGAGCATGGGCTCTCAGAATTCCCAGACCGCGAAAGAGTATGACGCATTCCCCTAATACTCTCCACCACATCACTAAATTGATCATACTAACTAAATCCAGGTTTATTGAGTCCCAGCTCCAACTAGAGGCAGATGCACGCGAGGCTCTTCCCTATGTGAGTGCCTTGAAGCAGGTGGCGCGCGACTTGTTCTACAGCTAACCTATTGACTTTAGGCTTTTGACTCTTGCACATATGACCTTGGACCATTGCGACAGGTCCTCTTTGCTTGCCTCACATGCAATCCCCCTCCTGCCGACCCCAACGAATCCTATACTGCCGCTGGCATCTGTTACTCGTGCTCGATCGCTTGTCACGGCGAGCACACACTAGTCGAGCTCTTCAACAAGCGTAACTTTGTTTGCGACTGCGGAACCACCCGCTTACCACCATCTTCATGTTGCACACTCCGTGAAGATCCCGCAACCGGCAAGAAGGGTATACACTCCCAAGGGGCTGCATCAAGCAACGCATACAACCACAATTTTCGCAATCAGTTCTGTGGCTGTGGCGAACAGTACGATGCGTATTCAGAAAAGGGGACAATGTACCAGTGTCTGGGACTTGGCACCGTCGATACCGGAGGCTGTGGCGAGGACTGGTGGCACCCCGAGTGTCTCGTTGGCTTGTCGCGTGATTGGAACAAGGCCCTCCCCAAGGCCAATGGACTCGGTGGTGGTGATGCTACTAATGATGCTTCTATCGAGGAAGAAGAAGATCAACCCCCACCCGGGTTTCCCGCTGAGGATGATTTCGATCATCTGATTTGCTTCAAATGCATCGACTCTAACCCCTGGATTAAGCCCTATGCGGGCACTCCTGGGTTCTTGCCACCGGTTTTCCGGGAAGGTGGACTCAAGAAGGCCTCAAATGTGATCGAAGATCTCTTTGTACCAGCCATTGGACCTAAGGAGACCGAACCTAAGGGCCAGGAGAAGACCGAACAATCAAAAAAGCGCAAGGCAGATGATGAGGGGCCCACCGAAGGAGAGCCTGTCACCAAGCGAACTAAAGAAGAAGAGAAAGAAGCTCCCGTCGAGGAGCATCCACTGAAGGTCATGAAGGAACAGGAGCTTACCAAGGAAGAGAACAATTATTCTACAAAGGCCTCCGCCCCCAAGCACACCGAGCTCCCCAAGTCCACTCCAATGGAATCATTCTCTCTTTTTGCCTTGGATGATTTCCATGGTCAGCTGTGCCGCTGCGCAGAGTGCTTCCCCAAGCTTGTTCCCCACCCCCAGCTTCGCGAAGAAGAAGATACATATGAGCCTCCCATGTCTGACGACGGCCAGGCTAACGGTGTTGCAAGTGTCGGCACAGGCAGCATCTACGACCGCGGAGAGGCAGCACTAAACAACATGGATCGGGTGCGCGCCATCGAGGGCGCAATGGCATACAACCACCTGCGCGACAAACTCAAGGTGTTCCTGCAGCCCTTCGCTGAGAGTGGACAGGCTGTCAGTGCCGAAGATATTAAGGGCTACTTTGAGGCGCTGCGTGGTGATGATCAAGGCATCAAAGATGCTGCCAATAACGCTTCTACTGCGGGTGGTGACGGCAAGGATGATACCGACGGAGACGAGCGACATGAACAGAATGGTAAGTGACATGAATATCCTGGCTGATTTTCCGGAGATGACCACTGACTCGCTTTGATTGCAGGGTACTGATTATTCTTTCACGCAACCTTTTTCATCTTTTCGGCGTTCGATCATCGGGTGCTATCCGGGGATTTTCGGGCGTGGTTCAATATGTATGTTGTACGATATTTTATGGATATGGGATTAGGACATGGGCAATGATGGGAGGTATGAGAACAAATGGCGCATCACATGCAATTGAAATGATTATTATCTAGCAGAGCTCGGATGAACTCTTCGATTGGGAATCAATCCACGTTCATAAAACAAAATATATAGTGGTCTTATGACCTCCAGGGCTGAATACGAAGATCAATTCCGCGTAATTCATCATGATGCAATTTCGCTAGTTATTGTAACGCTAACACCGAATTAAATGTATGATGTGAGTGGATATCACGGCCAGCCTGTCCACGCGCTGCAAAATATGATCAACACAGATATGCAGCAAGCAAAGGAAAAAGATTACTCCTTGAGGCGCTTGGATGCCCTCATCAACGAATCATCTGGCAGTCCACTCCGTTTGGTGCCAGGAAGACTGCCGCTGCGAATATCATTGTCATCTTGGGTGACCCGACGGTGTGGGTATTTGCCCTCGATACCCTCGAAGCAGTTACCACTGATAGGGCCGCCATTGGTAAAGTACGGATGCTCAAGGGCTTGCTCGGCGGTGATCCGCTTTACCGGATCATATTCAAGCATACGGGACAGAAGATCGAAGCCATCTGCACCGGGAGTGCCGGTACTGGAGGTGGACGTGTATCCACCGTTTTTCAAGCAGCTTTGGTACCAGCCTTCAAGATTAGAGCCGCGATGAAAATGTGAAGACTGGCGGTGGAGCACCAGAGACTGGAGTTGGGAATATTCGGGCATGGAAACTAAACCCGGCCAGGATTCTTTGCGGGGAAGACCGAGAATTTCGACAATCTTCATCATTTGGTTGCGCTGGAAGGGAACTGTTTTCTTGCTGTCCATTTTGGCTTCTTCACCTTTGAAGATTGGTCGTAGCGAGAGTAGCTCGGCGAAGATGCATCCTATTGCCCACATATCGACGGCAGGAGTGTAGTGCCGGCTCCCCATGAGCAGCTCGGGTGCACGGTACCAGATTGTGACCACGACTTTGTCACCCGAGAACAGGGAGTTGAGTGGCTTGTAGAATAGACGTGCTAGGCCCAAGTCGCCAATACGAATAGCACCGCTTGAGGTGACGAGGATGTTGGCTGGTTTCAAATCACGATGCAGGACCCAGTTGGTATGAAGATAGAGTAGTCCATTCAACAACTGGAACATGATAGACCGGACCATGGTTGCCGGAATAGCATGTCGCTGAGGCTGGGTGTGATGATGAATGATCTGAAGCAAATCATGCTCTGTATATTCAAATACCATGAAGATGCATTTGTCCTCCAGAATGATCTCTTCTAGCTGGACAACATTGGCATGCGAGAGTTCAGTGCACAATGACATTTCACGGATAGCCGATTGCGACAGACCCGTATACTGGATCGTCTCACCTTCCTTGTCGGGTTTGAATCTGTATGAGATTAGAAAGAAGAAATCAAATGTTGGGAGGGCTTTTACTTCTTGATTGCAAACTCCCCTTTCTTGCCATTTTTGCCAACAGCCTTGTACACTCGGCCATAGGTACCGCTGCTGATGAAGCCTACTATATTATACCGATCTCGGACCCGGACTTTGCTGGTATACCCGCCGGGTCTTCTTGATTCAATGGCATCTGTTAAACCTTCAGTTAGCATGTTCCAGATTGAGAATCGAATGCGTTGGCGATGATCCCTTCCACTTGCAAACTGCACCACAGAAACAAGATCATTACAGAGAACCAAAGGGAAAGAGTTACCACGAGAATAGAATCCTCCAGAATTCAAGAAAGGGAAACCCTTTCCAAACATGATGGAAAAGGCGATTACACCAAGAAATCACGATAAGACTCAAGAAAGAATATAATTACCATCGACAGTAGCCTGGAGACTCCGTTTCAAGTTGCCGACTCTGGTTCGTGAAAGAGAGCCGGAGGAAGAGGGCGGGTTTGTCAGACTCATTTGTGGATCAGAAGGGGCGGTGATGTTGTCACTCCATTGGTGGAGAGATGTCTTCTCCACGTTTTCCAGTTCTTTGAATATAAAAAAAAAGACTTGAAAGATTAGAGAGATTTAAGGTATTCCAAGTCTGAATTGCAGCCGAGTCAAACGCTTAGTCAGATCACATGCCGTGCTTGGGAGGTTGTACATAGCTTCAACTCCTCAACTTTCGGAATTGTGACTCTATCGCCTAATTCAATGTGACATTTTGATTATACAGGCAGACACTTTTCGTCTGACCAACTTCACCTCAGATCATCTTATCTCTCCGCGACCGGCAAACGTCATCTACAGCTCCGACCTTCTAACCTACCTTCAACCTCGGGATCGTCGATTGACCTATAATTTGTCTCACGATGGTTTTGGGCATATCAGCCCGGTCGAGGGTCACACCGTACCTGGTATATCTCGTATTTGTTGTCACGCTTGGTCCGCTTCAGTTTGGCTTCCACCTGGTACGATATCAGCCCCTCCAATGTACTGAACATTACTGATACGTGGATGAACAGGCAGAGCTTAATGCGCCCAAGACCGTTATAACATGCGAACAAAGTGGAATCCTTTCTTCCGTGTCTTTTCATGGTCTACCGCAATGCTTTCCTATGACTCCATCGCAATTCGGCCTCGTCTCTTCGATCTACACACTCGGTGGTCTGGTCGGAGCTCTGCTGGCAGGACCCATCGCGACCAAATACGGACGCTTACTTGCGTTACGCGCGACCACAGTATTCTTTGTTCTGGGACCTGTGGCGGAGACACTTGCACCGGCGATTTCCCTCTTAAGTCTTGGTAGATTTCTCTCTGGAATTGGCTCTGGTGCTGCAATCGTGGTTGGTCCTATCTACATTTCGGAAGTCGCCCCTCCCAGTGCTCGAGGCCTTTTCGGTGCTTTCACCCAGATTATGACCAATGTCGGCATTCTGTTGACACAATCCCTGGGATACTTCTGGAGCGAAGCAAGCCGCTGGAGACTCATACTGGCTGTTGCCGGAATTATCGGTGCTCTGGAGCTTTTGGGACTGGCCTTGGTACCCGAAAGTCCTTCATGGCTCGCGGAACACCAAAAGATCAGCCAGGCGCGTCGGGTCCTGCAGCGGATCCGCGGTCGAGATGCCGACATTGAGGCGGAGATTGCGAGCTGGAGGACCTCGGATGCACCTGCGTCTGGCGAGGAAGAATCCTTGCTCTCCCCCTCTTCTGAAGAACGGCCGCCCAATAAGCCTGAAGTCACATTTATGCAGGTTGTCAAAGACCCCTACTACCGCCCAGCTATCATTGCCGTGGTTGGCGTGATGGTCGCCCAGCAACTCACCGGGATGAACAGCATTGTTATGTACAGTGTGTCCTTACTACAAAAGATCCTACCGACGACTGCTGCGCTACTCACGGTGATCATATCTGCGATTAATCTCGTGATCACGCTGGCATGTTCTCCCCTACCCGATCGCATTGGCCGAAAGTCGTGCCTGATGCTGAGCATCTGCGGTATGGGCTGCAGTTCTATCCTTCTCGCGATAAGTATCTACATGAACGCTAAGATCTTGACGGCGATCGCTGCCTTGCTTTTTGTGGCAGGTTTCGCGATCGGACTGGGCCCGGTCCCCTTTATCCTAGCGTCCGAGCTTGTTGGGCCCGAGGCTGTCGGAGCGGCACAGAGCTGGGCGTTGGGTGCCAACTGGATCGCAACGTTTGTGGTGGCACAATTCTTCCCCGTGCTCGACGATGCTCTCGGTGGCCGTGGACAAGTATATTGGGTGTTTGCCGCCATGGCCGCATTGTTCGGTGGCTTCATCTATCGATATGTGCCAGAAACTAAAGGCAAAGCTAATGCCGACGAGGTTTGGGGACGCACAGACCGACGACAAGACTGACTTTGGCTACAAGACTAAATTCCACATTTTTGAATACAACAGTATATCATCAGTACACATCGTTATATAGTAGGTATGATAGGATGCGGGGTATTGCATATGGGCCTGCATATTAAAAGAAACCAGATAGACATGTTCAGGGATCTCCTACACAATAGGCATCCATTTTTCCTTAATAACTTGCGGTGTGGAGTATCTGACGTTTCCCCAATTCGCATTGTTTCTCTTTTCCCCTTCAAGTTTCCCTTTCTCGGAAATCTTGTGTTCAAAATCGAAACGGAAAAGAATTTGGAAATTACTGTGGATAAATCCCATTTCTTGGCTGATCGACCCGAAGACAACATCCGGATATCGTCGATCAACTCTGGGGTCTTAAGACGTCAATTGTGTTGACCAGGGGGCAAGCCACCCCTCCCAACACTTTTCTTCCACTTCCTTTTTTCCTTTCTTTTCTTTCTTTTTTCTCACACTGCCATCCGCAATGGTCCGGTTGGCATTACCCCAACGATTAAGCTCACACCTGTCCGCGAGGAGCGCGTCGTCCACTCCCGGACAGAGCAGGAGCACTAGTCCTTTGCGAACAGCGGAAACCAGATATCTCCTTCTCAAAGTTACAGTCATCCGGGTAAGTACTGGGAATTGTGTAGCTTCTGCTCCCATGGGCTTCTGGCTAATTTCAATGGTTTCATTAGGGACGCAACCTCGCAGCCAAAGATCGAGGTGGCACGAGCGACCCAGTAAGCACCCTTCCAACAAAGACAATTCGAACCGAGACCGCTTACATGTTGTATAGTATTTGGTGGTTACATTAGGAGACGCGAGGCAATCGACACCCACCATATTCAAGACCCTGAATCCAGAATGGAACGTCTCATTCGATATGCCCGTGGTGGGGGTACCGCTGCTGGAAGCTATATGCTGGGATCATGATCGGTTCGGCAAGGATTACCTGGGCGAGTTTGATATTGCATTGGAGGACATCTTCGCTGATGGCCAGGTGAACCAACAGGTGAGTGAAAGGGACACGTTGCTTGGATAATTGAATAATTGGAGGGGGGGA